CAGGCCCTCTCCTGGTGCCACCTCACTTCCTCAGCCTGCATTTGGCTTACCAGGGAAAGGTGAATGGGGCATCACCTGGGTATGGGCACTGTGGCCAGACGCCCCAGTTCAAGTCTTAGCTCCACTGTTCACTACCTGTGTGACTTTGGGCAAGCTACATCATGTGCACGCCTCAGTCCTTCATCTGTAGAATGGGCAGATGAATGGTGTCTGGCTGATAGGGGTGCTGTGGGGATACCTTGAGACTCTGCACTGCAAGGGATTTAGAAGGGCTCCTGGCCCCCAGTAAGTGGAAGCTGCCATGGCATTTTCTGTTATTTCTGATTATTGTCTAAACAATTACAGAAGGGGTACTTTTTCTAACATTTTCCAGATGAGGACATGGAAGCCTGCAGGGCACAATGACTTGTCCTGGGACACACAGCCAAGGTGCACATCTGGGACTTATTGACTCCAAAACCAATGCTTTTTCTCTTGTTCTTAACTTTTTGGGGACCATGAGCTTCTAGAAAATCTGATGAAAATAAAAGATCTTGTCAGCCAGCCAGCCAGCCATAACAGACAGACACACACACACATACCATCAATATATAACAAAATTTCTAGGCCTTCACAGCCCCTCTGAGACAAGCCATATTAGGACCTATGAAGACAAAGTTCCATGGATTCTGGGCTAGAAATCCCCATCTTATGTCTTGCTGTGTTCTGCAGAGTATGCCCTTTTGTTTGCAAAGGATTATCATGTATCTCTGGAAAACAGAGCTAGAAAAACACAGTGGGTAACTTCAGACTCTTTGGCCCCAAATTCTCAGGCTACCTTCCTGCCCCCTCTTCCTGGCTGACCGGCAAGGCCCGCATGGAGGTCTGACACTCCGCTGTGCTGCCACTTACCCTGGCAGACGAGCCACATCAAGGTCACCTGGAGCATCCTCTCCAACCTGGGCAACTGCCATTCCCCTTGGGGTCCTGACCCCAGAAGAACATGACCTGACACTTGTGGGTCACCATATATGCTGGACTTTCTCCTTCTGGTCCCTCCAGGCCCAGCCCTGTCTTGCCCTGTCCCCGAAAGGCTGATCCCTGCAGACTGCGTCACGGGCTGACAGGTGGACTGGCCCAGTGGGCAGCGTGGTGGGAGAGCAGAAGGCACAGGAAACAGAGCTGTGGCTATTTCATCCCCAGCTCCGGTGCTGTTCTCTGGCAGAGGCTGTGTCCCTCTATACAAAGTGCCCACGGGTGACCGCCCTGGGCTCCTTCCTCACTGGACTCTGTGGACATCACTTCTCCTTGCCCTTCAGCCCCTGGGTGGCACCAGCACGTGATTCACCTCCAGGGATCTCAGCATCCCGCTCCACCAACCCTGCCCATTCCCGCAAACTGCCTTTGCATGATGGGCTCTTCCTATGAAGCTCTGGGTGAGTTCTGCTCCCGGTTGGGAGTTCGGCCCTTCCCTCCTTGGCACTGGGGAAGGGTCCCTTAGTGCTCATCTTCCACACACTGAGGGAGCCCAGGGCGACTGTCCCCTTCCAGAACCTGGCAGGACAATGCACTTTCCGAGCAGCTCCGAGGGGTCAGAACACCTGGCTTGACTCTGACACTTGACGCCCTCAGGGCCTCATCTCACCGTTGCACCTCAGTTTCCTCATCTGTAAGATGGGAGCAGTGGCGCATGCATACCACAGGGCCTTCTACCAGTAAACGTGTTAATTCTAAAGGGCCGTACGGCGTTTTTCAAGGTGATCTGTTATTCATTCACTTCTGCGAGGGGTCCTGCAGACCCTGGGTTCACGGTCTGGGTGAGACAGGATGGCAGATACCCTGCAGTAAACACATGCCCAGACTGAAGGACCAAGACTTGCTTTTCCTTAGTGGTGCCTGCTGGTGTATGGCTGCATGGGGAGGTGGGGGGAGTCTCCAGGGTGGGTCTGGAGCTCCAGCCTGAGCTCCACCACTTTGTCGCTGAGTGAATACAGTGTTGCCTATGGCTGTTACTAGGTTGCTTGGAGGATGATGAGACAGCGCCTGTCTAAGACATGTGACAAACACAAGCTGCCACGAGTTGCTGCCACGCTCAGCTGGCTTCAGTCCTCACATCTATAAAATGGGGCTAATTCCACTCAGCTTGTGGGCTGTTGGGAGTGAATGGGAAGATGTGAGCCAGTGAGCTTTATGACGGTCATCACAACATTTGCCCCTGTTGGGGTCTTGGCCTGCCCTGCTACGTGGCCGTGAAGCCGCCCGCCCATCCTGTGTCAATGCTTCCAGTGGGTCTTTCCACTGGGGGAGGCAACTGTGCTGTCTCTGGAGCTCAGTTCATCGAAGGAGACTTCTCTCCAGGGCAGGGCAGAACCGCTGAGCCTGCATTCTCTGCTGCCCGGGTTGGGTGGGGGTGACGGGGAGGGGTCCCTGCCTCCGCTCCAGGGAGAGTCCCTAACACAAACATTTGCCGACGGGTGCATTTGGGCCTGTCAATGGTTGTCGATAAGGACAGACTCTCTTTCCACGCATCAGGATTTGGGGACTTATTGAGTTGTGAGTGTGCGACTATGTATTCTACAGTGTCAAATCGGCCTTGGCTCCAACATTCCCCTGGCTGGGACTGAGGGCCTGGCATGTGCCAGGAACTGGGACAGGCATGGGGGACCCAAGCACTGACCACCCCTACAGATGGGCATGACACAGACTACATGTGGGGGACGCGCGGGTCCAGTGAGCATAACAGACCATAAAGAAATTACAGCATGACAGGATGGTACAGAACAGAAGCAGAGAGTCGAAGACGGAGCAGTTACTGATTCCTGGGGAGGGCGTGGCAGGAGGGAGGGCTTCCTGGAGGAGATGTCATTGGAGCTGGGTCTTGAAGGCATTTATCAGGTTAAAAAGAAAATGAGGGCAAGGCATTCTAAGCAGAGGATTCACACAAGAACAGGAGATTGAACAATCAGAAGTAAAAGCAACCCTGCCACCCCTGAACCACAGATTTAAAGAAGACAGGGAAAAAAGGAAAAAGTGGGGAGGAAAATCGACACAAATGAAGCAAAACCAAAAGAAGAATATAGATTTCACACAGACCCCTGGGAGGTCAGACACTGAGAAAACAGACTTCAGAATACAAACAATGAAGAGCCCTCAGAATGACTGGTCACATACTGTAAACCCAGACATCAAGACATTAACAGAAGGAATAAAAAGAATTAAGGAGAGACAAGAGGAAAATAGGACGGAGTTGATAACTGAGATAACAGCAGTAAAGAATTGTTTGTGGGAGGTGAGGTGTGGGCGAGGGCGAGTCTGGGAAGGCCACTGGTGTGGCTAGGTAGTATGTCCTGCAGTGGGGAGAGGCGGAAGGCCGGCTGGGCTAGAGTGAGGGGCTTCCACGCCATCTCTGGAGTCCTCAGTCCATGGGTCTTGCTGTACTGCTGAGACCCCGCTTCTTGAGAAGCCCTGGCTTCGGCCTGAGCAAGGCCAGTGGCCCACTTGAAAACTCACATCTCTGTGAAGGAGACCATGCCCAGGAACTCCTCCAAAGTGGCTGCCTGGGTTAGGAAGTCAAGACAGACTGGCCAAGACAGGGAACCCTCACTCCAGGTTCCAGGCTCCGCCTACACACAGGGGAATGGGGTCTGAGGGAGCTGCTTGCAACAAGTATCCCCCAGTCTGGCCCCAGGTGACACCTTTGGCCCTCAGCCACCCCACAAGGATGGGGATGGGTGAAGGGGCAATGGGAGATCCACTCAGGAAAGCACACGAGATTAGTGAATACAAGGGATGACGCCATGAGAATTGAGAGCACCGTGGATGGTGCCATGGACGGAAGTGTCCCCAGCACGGAGTCAGGCTTTCCCGGCACGTGGCAGGAGAGACGCTCCCCAGCCAGGACCTATCACTAGGCCAGTGGGATCTGGCGGGGAGGAAGCCAGCAGCTGCCCTTTTGCTGCCAGGCCAGGACTATAGAGGAAGCACTTCTGAGATGGGAAGGGGAGGTGTGGAGTTGGGATTCAAGGTCAGCTACTCCTCGCTGTCCCCAGTGTAGTAGGGAGGGCTTCCTGCCATGCCTTCCTTGTGCCCTGGTGAGCGATTCTTGTGGCTGTCTCTCACTCTCTCCTCACCTGACTCTCAAAACAACCTCCTGGAGAAGACAGGCCCGTGTGGCCCAGCCCCACCAACCCCGCCTGCCTCACCTGCCCCCTCTCTCCTTGTAGCTCCAGCCCTGCCAACCTCCCTGTCTCTAAGACACTCCGGCCCACCGCAACGTCAGGGGCCCCTGCTTGGGGAGCCCCTTAGCGGGTGCAGAGGTCTCCTCTGTGGCGAGTCCTCCCTAGCTCACCTGATGAAGGATGTGCCCAGCTTCTTCTCCTGAGCCCATGGCCCTGCTCAACCACTGTGGCTACACTACATGAGGACACAGTGGCTGCTTGGCATTCTCTGGTCACCGATGGAACAGTCACCAGGGCCCCATGATGCCACCCCAGTGTGTAGGAGCTGACTGAGGCTTGTGGGCTCAAAGTCCTGGCAGGAAGTAGATGACCCTCCAATGGGGAATGTGGGAGGGAAATCAGTAGGGGGGTGGTCCCTGGGCTGGTCACCGGGAGGACCACTGGCATCCCTGCCCTGCAGGAGCAGATGCCAGAACCTGGACAGATGGTGCTGTGCCGAGGGGGCAGTGGCCATGAGCTGGCACTTGGCAGCCTAATAGGAAGAGAGCACCCTGACTTCACTCTCTTCCTGCCAGGGCTCCCAGCAGCTTCACTCAAAGCAAGCTGAATGGGTGTGGGAGCTCCCAGTGGTGCTCACAGGTCAGCTTCGAAGGAAGCAGGAAGGAGGGTGGACAGCAGATCTGGAGGGGCTCACAGGGGATGCAGCACAGGTGGCAAGGAGGACCTGGGGACCCTCATGCTCACAGCCCCCTATGCAGTTCTCTGAGAAGCCCCACCCACCCCTTGCCTTCTCCAGGGCCCATTTGTGACAAGCTGCAGGACAGTCCCCAGCACAACTCCTACCGGGGAAGTGCTCGGCCGTCTTCCGCCGCAGAGCCTGCAGGGTCACCTCGGAGTCGGCCCACTCCAGCACCAGCCTCCGGCCATACAAGTGGGTACTGTGACACAGGGCATTGAAGGCTCTCTGCAAGGGGACAAGAAACAAAACTGCATCAGCTACGTGGACCGGCAGACGCTGTGTCCTGTGCCCCGCTGCCCGCCCGCCTCTTGTACACCAAAGCCCGGGCTCTGGTCCTGTGATCTCATCTCCAGCAAGGGTTTGGGGAGTTGCTGGGTGCCATCTATTTAATGAGTGGGTGACATTCCCAGGGAGAGGGCTGCAGGGGACTGAGCAGTCAACAGATCTGTCTTTGGGGCGTGACTGGCACCTGGGCTGAGGCGGTCATTTTACTTTCCATGTTGCATCCTAGCTGGACAGAGCAACCCATCAGCGGACTCGCCTCCCACCTAGCTGTCAGCGGCCGCCATGTGAGGAAGCCAAGCCCTGTCTGGCCGCTGGATGGCAATGTGCCTCTGTGCTGCCCTGTAATTCTGTCCCCGGCTCCCTCGATGCCCTGCCCTTGGCTTCCACCCCCAGCTCACAGCCCAGGGCCTGGCACATGCTGTTCCCGTTTGCGCTCTGCTGTTTCCAAAGACTGTACACTGCCTTCTTTCCTCTTCTGGCTTTTGAACAGCAGTATTGAGACATACCTCACATCTTATACAAGCTGCTTATCTAAAGTATATAACTCGAGGATTTTAGTATATCCACAGAGCTGTGCAATTGTCACCAGATCAGTTATAGAACATTTCATCACCCCAAAGAGAAGCCCACACCCCTTAGCTGCCATGCCCCCAGGCCCTGGTAACTACCATTCTCTGCCTTCTGTCTCAGGATTGGCCTGTTTTGAACATTTTCTATGAATGGAATCATATGATATCGACCAGATCCCTCAAACATCACTAGGTATCAAGTTCAGTGTCAGTGCACAGGGACACCCTCCCTGACCTGCTGGGCTCATTCAAAATGCTCCCCTGGTACACAGGCCATGGAGCTTAGTGGCCAAGAGCCTGGACTCTGGGGTCACTCTGCCCAAATGGGGAGGACCCTGCACTTCCTAGCTTCGAGATTTTGGGCAAGTTAAAGAAATTTTTCTGGCCTCAGTTTCCAAATCTATAAGATGGGCATATTCATATATGACAATCTAAGGGTTTAGGGGACAAAAAAAAAAAAAAGAGTCCACATAGACAGTGTCCAGAGCAGTGTGGGGCACACGGCAATCATTCAGAGACGTTACTCACACTGAGGCTGTATTGTCACTTCAGACATATCACATGTAATTTCTCTCAGCAGACAGCGCTCAGGCAGGCGTTGGGTTTAAGGAGGACTGGGCCCAGGCGCTCGCCTGGCAGAACATGGCCAAGAGGACCCTTTCCTCTGCTTCTGGGTTGACAGCATCAACTAGTATGAGGAAAGGAGGGTCTGACCCTCTTGTTCCTTTGACGCCGTGAGGTCCCATATAACCAGAAGGGTCTGGACTGGAACCCGTCCAAGTCTGTCCTCATCTACAACATGACTGTCACAGTTGGATTGTGTTTACCAAAAGAAGACCTAACCCTGGCACCTCAAAACATGACCCTATTTGTAAATAGGTAGTTGCGATGAGGTCATACTGGAGAATGCATGGCAGGCCCTCCTCCAATGACTGGTGACCTTGGCTGGCCACATGAACACAGACACAGGGCGAATGTTGTGGGAAGACGGAGGCAGAGACTGGAGTGATGAATCCACAAGCCAAGGATCGCCAGCTGCCACTGGAAGCCAGAACAGAGGCATGGCACAGATTTAATTCGCTGAAGGAGCCAACCTGCTGACATCTTGGTTTTGGACTTCCAGCCTCCAGAACTGTGAGACACCACACACACACACACACACACACACACACACGCATACATATATGTATTTTTAAGTAGAGACAGGGTCTTGCTTTGTCACCCAGGCTGGTACAGTGGTGCAATAATAGCTCACTGCAGCCTTAAATTCCTGGGCTCAAGAGATCCTTCTATCTCACCCTCCCGAGTAGCTAGGACTACAGGCGTGTGCTACCACGGCTGGCTACTTTTAAAATTTTTTTGTAGAGATAAGGTCTCACTATGGTGTCCTGGCTGGTCTTGATCTCTTGGCCTCAAGTGATCCTCCTACCTTGGCCTCCCAAAATACTAGGATTATAGGCATGAGCCACCATGACTAGCCTACGTTTGCTGTCTTAAGCCACTCTGTCTGCAGTGTTTTGTCTCAGAAGCCCTAGAGAACTACCTCAGTGAACCTGGGTAAATCAACTTCCTTGTCGCAAGCCTTGGCTTCCTCATCTGTGGGGGAGACAGTTGTGGAACTTACACAAAGCAAGCACTGAGGGTGGCGCACAGTATACATCCAATAAACAAATGAATCTGAAACCACAGGAGAGAGGTAGGTAAAACATGCATCTTTAAAAACTAGACATGTGTTCAAATCAAAGAAATGTTTTGTTCTCCTCCATGCTGCTTCAAGAAGGGCCAGGTGCAGGAAACTTTTTCTTTCCCCCCTTTTTTTTAACTTTAATTTAAAAAACTCTTTCTGACTGCCAGCAGAGCCTCGACATTTTTTTCCACACGGATATAAAAATGCATCTGGACTCGGAGCCGAAATGGCCCATTCAGAGCTTTAAAACACACGCGTTCTCAGCTGGCAAGGCAGAGAAACGGCTTGATCGGGGGAGCTGGGGCTTGAAGATGGGAGAGAAGCTGGCGGGGAGTCTGGCGTGGTGGATGCTCCATCCCATGCCGGGGTCCCCGAGGAGCTGCAGTCCCAGGGACATGGTGAGGCGGGGCAGGCGCGAGGCTGCATCTGGTGCATGTGGGACCCCAGCAAAGAAGGGAGAGGCGCCGGGAGGCGGCATGGCCCGACGCCCAGTCCCAGCCTCCGACTCCCACTGTCAGACTTGTGTCTCTCTTCTCTTAGAAACCAGCTCCACTCCAAGTCGCAGATGCAGGAGTCATGTGAGATGCCCTCGCCTGGCCTTCCTCTGACATGGCCCATCGCAAATTCTCATCTCCTCCCTCCGTACTCTTCTAGTGCTTTGTTGCTGCTCTTGGGAAGGGCTTTTCTCACTACCAGGTGGGTGGCAGTGCAGGTTGTGGGCTCTGCTGCTAGGCTACCTTGGATCAAACCTCTGCTCTGCCACTTTCGGACTGTGTGACCTTGGGCAAGCTGCTTAACCTCTCTGGGCCTCAGCTTTCTCCCGTGTAAGAGAGAGGCAGTAGCAAAGTCAGTGAACTGTGGAGTCTGACAGCTAGAACACGCTGGCACACAGTGCGTCTCACTCAACACTGGCTGCTATGCTGTGATGATGGTGATGTGCCTCTGCTTCCCATTATCACGCTAAAGAGCAGGGACAATGGGAGATAGGACACAAAAGCTCTTCTGCCTTCGAAGTTAGAACACAATATGTGGTTCTCCAAAAATAGAATTGTCCTGCCTCATTCTAGTCCCTGTGGGTTACTATGAAATCAGGCTGCCTTCCGAGTGCCCACCGCCTGGGGGCTGGAAGGTGGTGGCCTAAAACTGTCGCAGGCAGGATGAGGATGACAATTCAAGACTAAAATTGGCCTTGGTAGTGTGGAGTCATTAAGAGCATAAGGAGAGCTTGTCATACCCACGGTATTCTAGAAGGTGGGGCGGTAGTGAGAAGGAAGGCCAAGCCCGGGCCTCAAGGGGCTTTCTGGACGGTGCAGGGTAGATCCTGAGGTGCACGGAAGGTTGCAGCCACCACAGGGGAAGTACAGGTTGTGGCCTCACTGGCTTGAGGTCTACCAGCAGCCTCTTCCCAGGTCTCTGCCCACATCTGACCCCATGAAGACCAACCCCACCTTCCCCTGGAGCGTTTTTCTAAACCCCAGGCCCAGGCCTGGTGCTTCTCTGCTGAAACAGGCCCCAGGCCTCGTTTACTTGTGAGAGGCAGATGGTCCTAGGCCTCTGGCCCTCTCCAAATACTGCCCATGCTGTCTGCTTTTCCTGCCTTGGAGTCACAGGCCTGCTTAGCAGGAACTGTGGACCTCCTGGTTCCATGGAACTCCAAGCACATGATCTCAGCCGACTCCTGAGACCAGATAGCATTCTCCCATTTCAGTGAAGGGAAAACTGAGGCACTGGCCAAGGTTTATATGCAGGTCAACTTCCTCCCTCCTTTCAGCCTCTGTAGGCCTGTTTCTGGGCCCCCATGCCCTCCATCCTAGCTTCAAGAGGGTCGCCCTCACAGACGGCTTGCTGGTGCCAGGGAAGGCTCTGCCTGTCTTGCACTTGACCTCCATTCCAGCACCTGCTCCCTGCCCCACGGTGCCTGTGGTGGGCTGGTCTCCCTGACTCGAGTGGAACCCCAGACAGGTGGGCTAGTCCTAGTTGAAGATGAAGGTGGGGAGCGCTGGCTTACGGCTCCCTTCACACTGCACCGAAAGGTCAGAGATGGCAGGGAGGGGAGTGGGACCCGTTCTGAGAGTAGCCCCAGACATCCAAGAGTCAGGATAAGAGCCAGCACACAGTCTTGGGCACTGCTCCCAACATGCGTGACATGGGACCCTGCGGGATGTGAGCAGGATGGATGCCGCCAGGACATGAGAGACCACAAGTCGACACCCCAGTTGGAGGGGCCTGAGGATGCAGCACAGAACTCCTAGGAAGCCACAGAAGAGCCACTCCTGCTATCAGGTGATGGCCCGCACTGGTGATTCCTATCTCACCTTCCATCCCATACACTCCAGGAGCTGACTCTTCCCAATGGGTGACCAGTGCTCCCTCAGCTTCTGGAGGAACGAGGGACAGGAGGACGGCTCCAGCAGGGACCCTCTTCCACAGCTCTGCTCTCCCCTGCCCTCTAAGTATGCCTTTGGTCTAAGGGAGATGATACTTCCCCAGTGTCTGGTCCCCAGAGGTTTTGCCTTCCCTGGTGAGTCCTCAGCCCTAATTACCCTTCTGTAAACATCTCTCTACCTGAGCCACCTGAGGAGACCCTGTTTCCTACCGGAATCTGACTTCACGGCTGCCTGATGTGCCCTTGTCATGACGAGGCAGACGGATTCCCACTCCATGCTGTGTCTCATGCCTGGTTC